AACCCCCTAGACCCCCTAAACCCCCTAAACCCCCTGAACCCCCTAAACCCCCTAAACCCCCTAAACCCCCTAAACCCCCTGAACGCCCTAACGCCCCTAAACCCCCTAACCTCTCTAAACCCTAAACCCTAACCCGACGTCCGAGTCTTCATGCTGTGTTTCGCTTGCCTTAGGCTGAGCACCCAGGGATGCCTTAGTGTCGTAGGCCCGCTAAAAGGTACCGAATACCCCACCCAAATTTGCACCCTAAGCCTTAAGGAACCCAAGGGTTTAGGGTTAGGGTTTAGGGGTTAGGGGTTAGGGTTTAGGGTTTAGGGTTTAGGGTTTAGGGTTTAGGGTTCAGCATCTCAAGCCCAAGCATTCACCAGGGCAAGCAGCCTACCAAGTGATGGAGAAACACCCACAGAACGTTCGGAAAGCCTGTCACTTCACATCTCAAGCCAGCCTTCCTTTTAACCCACACAGCCGAAAGCCCAATAAGCCCTAAACGCAAGGCCCAGTAGCCCAACCCAAGGCCAAGTAGGCCCTGAACCCTGAGGCCCAAGGCCCCAGCCACTAAATCCTAAAGACCAAACCCAGTAGGCCCTAAACCTTAAATCCCAAGGCCCAATAGGCTTCAAACCCAAAAAGCCCAAGGCCCCACAACTTTCGGCCGAAAACCACGAACCCACTAGGGTTCATACAGAAATATATATATATATACATATATATATATATATATCCAGGGTTTAGGGATTAGGGTTCAGGGCAATCTTACAGTGGTGCTTCCTAAGCCCTGAGCCTTCACTCACCAAGAGCCAGTAAGGGTCATGACGTAAACCCCAAGCCCTAACCCGTTTTGGGGGGTGTCCAGCGTAAAAGTTCGAAGCTGAAGCGGTTACCTTCTGCCCAGTTCCCTAAACCCTAAACCCTAAACCCTGAGCCCTAAACCCTAAACCCTAAACCCTGAACCCTAAACCCTAAACCCTTAACCCCAAACCTCAAGTGTTCTGTCGAGGCGCCACAGCTGCCGAGCTCTGGTGGCCGACGCAGGTGTCGGCTGCGCCATTCGGCCTCCGAGAGATCCTAAACCCCAAAGCGCCCGAAACCCTCAAAGCCCAAATCACAAACCCCCGAAGCCCTAAAACCCCAAAGCCTAAACCCTACGCCCTAAACCCTAAGTCCTAAACCCTAAACCCTCGAGACGAAATAACTAGAACTTGTATGTGATCTCACCCCGAAAAGCCAAAAAGAGGCAAAGGGCAGGGCTCCAACGATCTGCCAGAAAATCGGGCAGCATTTCCCCAAAGAAAACGAAATGGGCCACTAGTTCAAACCTTTCTGTCAAAACGTTTCGTTCAAAACGTTTCGGTCAAAACTTCTTGGGGCCAAAACCCTATATACAAGTTCTAAAAACCCGAAACCCTATGCACCAAAGGCCCATAAACCCTGCACTTGCACATGTTGGGGGTTTCATGGGCTACGCCCTATAAACCCAAAACTCCGAAACCGTAAAGCTTGAAAGCTACAAGAAGAGCAATGTGACTGTTTTGAGTAGGCTTTCGGGTTTCGGGTCTCGGGGTTTCGGGTCTCGGGTTTTCGCGTTTTGGTGTTTCGAGTTCAGGGCTTAGGCCCTATGCAGTCTACGAGGGCATCTCAAGGCTGTTAGGGTTTAGGGTTTAGGGGTTTAGGGTTTAGGGTTGCCACGCAGCCATCATACTTTAGGGTTTCGGGTTTAAGGACCAACCTCGAAGATCTCAAATGCTAGGGTGTCCTCCTCCCCCCCCAACAAGAACAACCTCCAAAACGCCCTCGACCTCAAAGCCCTAAGCCCTAAAGCCCTAAAGCCCTAAAGCCCGAAAGCCCCTAAGCCCTAAAGCCCTAAAGCCCTAAAGCCCTAAAGCCCTAAGCCCTAAGCCTTACGCCCTAAGCCCTAAGCCCTAAGCCTTGGGGGGGGGCTTTGGGGTTTGCAAGGTCCTGCCTCGTGCAGCTGTTGAGACGCCGCCCGGAGAGCAAGAAATGTCCAAAGCTCGGTGAACTCGGGCTCCTGGGAGGGTTTAGGGTTAGGGGTTAGGGTTTAAGGTGATTCTTCAAACCCTAAACCCTGAACTCTGAACCCTGAACCCTAAACCCTAAACCCTAAACCCTAAACCCTAAAACGCTTGGAAGGTAGTGGTACTGAGGGTTGGTTTCGGGTTTCGGGCTCAGGGTTCGCCACCTTTTCAGTAAGCTTCATGGGACTACCTTCCCTTGGGTTTGGGGACCCTTTTTAACGATCCTCTAAGGGGATATACGGGGCCTTTTTCGGAGTAGATTAAAAGGTACCTTTATAGGGGTATATCCTTAGGGGTCCGAGTTTTGACCCTAAACCCTAAACCCTAAACCCTAAACCCTAAACCCTAAACCCTAAACCCTAAACCCTAAACCCTAAACCCTAAACCCTAAACCCTAAAGCCTAAAGCCTAAAGCCTAAACCCTAAAGCCTAAACCCTAAACCCTAAACCCTAAACCCTGAACCCTGCACCCTGAACCCTGAACCCTGAACCCTAAACCCTAAACCCCAAACCCCAAACCCCAAAGCCGAGTATGACTCCCTTGAAGCCTTCTCTCTCGA